CTGCCCACCCTGCCCGCCCCCCCACCCCACCCTCCTGCCTGCCCTCCCTCCCTCTTCCACTCACTCCTGTTGTTGGTGCCCATCACTGTCATGTTGACGACCTCCAGGTTGGCTCCCACCAGGCCCGGCCGCGTGACGTTGGCGGCGGCGGCGCCGTCCACGCCGGCCACCACCGTGGTTGCCACCACCCGCCCCGCCGTCACATCTTTGCGGAACACGGCATTGTCGCTGACGAAGAGGTGCTCGCGGGAGGCGGGGTCAGTGATGCGGGAGCCCAGCGCGCTCTCGGCCAGCACCAGAGGGTTGGCGGCCGAGGGGCGGCTGCACGACACCTTGCCAGGGCGCACCTGCGGCAAGGAGCGGGGCAGCGACAGCATGGAGGGCGCGCAGCCGAGCAGCGCAAGCGAGGGAGCGGCACGGTGGCACTGCCCGCCGGGCTGGCCACTTCGATGACGCGGCGGCGGCAGCGGCAGCGGCAGCGGCCTGCTGCCGGGCTGGCCCGCGGCTGCTGCGCTTGCCATAGTCCTGAAGATGAAGGAGGGGGTGGCGGAGGCTGCGGGCAGGTCCTTGCCGACCTGCACATCGCCTGCAGCAGGCACAGCCCAACAGCACAACACCAGGGAACGGACGAATGCACGTGAGACAACAAAGCACCAGGGAATGCATGCATGCATGCATGTACGCAGGCAGGTTGGACCTGCCTTGACAGGCAAGGGATGATGAGAATGGGCCGAGGCTGGCGGCAGCATCGCGGGCTCCTAATAAAGGGTGGCACCACCTACCCCCGCCGGAGCCTGCACTCACCGTAGGCGGCCAGCACGACGCCGACGCTCTCAGGCGCGCCTGCAGGGGTGGGGTGGGGGGCGGTGCCAGCGTTGGGAGGCCGCTGCTTGCCCAGGCGCTGCTTGGGGTGCGCGCCCGCGTTGCTGACCTGGCCCGCCCCATCAGCAGGAGCGCAGGCTGCAGGCGGGGTGCTGCCCCAGCGAGCAGGGACGGCCGCCCGACACCAGGGATGCGACGCCGCAGCGGGGCCGCGCCTCGGCGGCTCTCTGCCCGGCCACTTACTGCGGTACAGCGTGCCCAGAGCAGTACGGTTGGCCACTTCTAGGCTCTTCTTGAACACGGCGTTGTCGCCGACAGACAGGTGCTCGCGGGTGGGCGGGTCCTGCTGCCGGCTGCCGATCCAGCTCTCCGCCAGCACGGCAGCGCTGGCGGCGCTGGGGCGGCTGACGCTGACCTTGCCGGGGCGCACCTGCGAGGGGGCAGGACAGGGGGCGGCGGCACCACCAGATGGCACAGATCGCACAGCAATCGGGGGCAGCGCATGGAAGGGTTGGGGGCCCGCTCAGGACAGCCGGGCACAGCGCGCACAGCGCAGCACGTGCCATGCGCAGCAGGCTCGGCGTGTGCAGGGCATGCCGGGACGGGCTGCTGCGGCGACCGAGAAAGAAGAGGCAGCCCCGCGCTGCGGCAGCGCTCACCATTGTTTGGAAGACAAAGGAGGGGGTGGCGGAGGCCGCGGGGCGATCCCTGCCCACCTGCACATCGCCTGCAGTCGGCACACCCAGCAGGAAAGAGACGACGGCGGTGGGCGGGCGGCCCGGGCAGGCAGGGGAGAGGATGGCGGCCCCACGCCACGCTGCGGCTGCGGTGTGTATCCACAAGCCTCAACCG